CGGCCAGGAGATCTGCCTCGCGCCGAAGGACTTTCTGGGGGTAGCTCGAATGAACACCAGGCGCCCTCTCGACCACGCTTGGACACCAAACTTTGTGCAACTTCGCAACCCCGCGCATCGGCCAGGCCGGGCCCTTGGGAGCGGCGCCGCACTAATATGCCAAAGACTGCGCGAGTAATTTGGCCGTCTCAGAAGTTGCCGCCTCGAAATGCGCGGCGCCCCCACGCGCACACACACGCACACGCACACACGCACACACAAACATGCGCTCGCATACACACACGCACACACACGCACACGCACCAACACACAGACAGACAGACAGACAGACAGACACACACACACACTCACACACACACACACACTCGCACGCACACACGCACACGCACACGCTCACGCACACGCACACGCACACGCACACGCGCGCACGCACGCACGCACGCACGCACACACACACACACCACACAGTGGATGAAGGTAGACTGGCGGGAAGGCGCGCGTTCACTTAGTCGCCCAAACAAATGTCACGCCCCTCCCCCCCCTTCGCAGTCACTTTCATCGATGCAAGCGCTGATCAAGGCCACCGTGCCCAACCTCCCGCCGCGCGCGGTGGAGCCGCAGCCGACCGCGACAAATCTGAACAACATCCTCTAACGAATCTTTGCGCCGCAGAACTGGAAATATAACGCCCCCCGGAAAAATATTGGGCGGCGCGTCCAAAATATCAGCGAGCCCATCACAACATCTTCCAACAGAACCCCACGCCATACTGAGCCCCCCCCCCACGCCGATGTGACAAGGAGGCGAACTGGGCCGCAGTAGCTGCCTCCTCAGCCACCAGTCTTGCCGCGACGCAAGCCCTGGGTTCAGGCCCGAAGTCTAGCAGATGAGACCACTGGTAGCATCCCACTCGCTGAAGACAAGTTGACGAAGCTGGAGCGCATCAGGCCGAAGGCGCAAACGCACTGGCTCACGAGAACCTCCACGCCATTGTGGGTAGACCCTGGCTCGCCCAAAAACTCCCGCCTGCGCGTTCCCATTTGCCCACGCCCAGAAAAACTTGCCGACTTGGACATAGACCCACCCAGAGCGGTGAGCAAGCGCACGTCGAAGTGTCCAAGCCCGCCCCCGCATGGAAATAAGCAGGGAAAGCCTCCAGGGGAAGCCTGACAGGAATGTCAACGATCGCGGAAATCGGCCTACTTTTGACGAGCTCGCCACAGGTGGGATTCCATCTGGTGCCAAACTGCTGCCGAACAAAAATGGCTACACCTGCTGACTTCGAACCATGCGAGCAGTTGAAGGATTGGCTGCGCAAAACAAGATACCCGAATCCTTGGGCGGCGCGCAGAAGGTCTGCGGCCGCTTGCTGGCCAGCCCCTAATTATCTCCCGCGCGCGCGTGCGATCATACTCATCGATGTGCTTAGCCTGTCTAACAACGTAGATGCCAAATTACCACTGGACGTGTCAAAACTTGCCAGCCACCTGATACATCCGCCACTTGACTTGGCCAACCTTGAGTTGAGGTGCAACGAGCCACCCTGCTGAAAGTGCAAGCTCGCCCAGCAGCGGCATGAGGACAGGAAGATGGCGGAGGCGAAGCTGGAGCTGCTGGCGCTGTTGGCGCGGGCACCGCAGGCACAACCTTCGCCCCCTCAACCCCAGCGTCGCGAGCGTCTCCCCGAAAGCCCTCTTGTCTGCGCCTAGGGCTGCGATTTGCAACTTCCCAACGTCCTCCACAGACAAGCCCTCGCACGCGCGCGGCAAAGGCTCGCCCTCAGGAACAGGGGCCTCCTGCCCTCGAAGGACGACGCCGCTGCTAGCGCTGGTGTCGCTGTCGCCTGCTTAAGCAAAGACTGCACCTGACCAAAGACTGGATTGGACAACGATTTTCGGATGTCCGCATTGGCCTTGGTAGCTTCTGGCGGCAACTGAACGCCAATGGAGAAAACCGTGGTAGCGATACTTGCACTCTCGCCCGAAGCCGCCGCAACTCCGGGCATGGTGCGCCGTTGCTCCTCGTCCACTGCGAAACACTCGCGCTTGAGAGAGGCTTCCTTTTCCTGCGTGTCTGCCAGCAGCTTCTGCGCAGACCCGATGACCTTGACCTGGGCAACGATAACTCCTACTGCTTCGGCCTGCTTGCGATGAGCTGCCTGCAGACGGAAGGCCACGCTGGCATGCTGCTGCAATGCTGGCTTGGAGCTGCGCTGAGCGAGGGGTTCCTCACGCAGCTGATCCAAAATGTTTTGGTTGGGCCGAAGCCTCGACGTCTGCCATCCGCTTGACAATCTGCTCGAACGATTCAATCCGCGCAGCGCGAAGCTCATCAGGATCCGGAGCAGAAGAATCACCAGCCTGCCCATGAGATGCTGCCGTCGATGAAGTTCCCCTGGATCCTTGCTTAAACGTATGATCAAATTTCTTCCCGAGAGCACCCATGATCGTGGCCACCAGGTCCCAATGAAGGGGCACCCCTTGCGCCCGCTTGCCCTCGAGAGAGCGAAGTGGACCCGTAGCTGGCCGCTTCGCCCACTCCTTTTTCACTCTTGTGAGCTGCCTGCGCAACGCCAGGATGAGCAGCAACACCGCAAGGACAGTTGATGCGGCATGCCCAATTCGCAGTACGAACTCATTGGGCACACGACCAAACCAAAAAGGCCGACGAGCGCCTCTTACGGAACCATCTCCAGACATCATCTGGAAAAAACGGCCAGAGATACAAAGAGCGGAAAAATGTGGCCCGCCGACGCAGGCTGCTCTGAATGAAAGCGTCGGCAGCGCCCGAGGGTGCAACACCCCTGAGCGCAGAACGGCCATAGGAGGAACAGGGCGAGGAGGCGCGAGACGAAGATGGGGTAGGATAGGACCTAATATTGCGTGCGCTAGCAGTTTTGAGCCGTGCACAACGTGTGTCACGAACACGCCAACTCCTGCACCAATCGGCCGTGTATCAGGTGCACGACGTCGTGGTGGCACCCCGCGCCGTGCAGCGGTGATACGCATAACCGAACCCTGGACTCGGGACCCCGCACTCCAGCAAGCAGCCTGGGACGAGGAGGGCGAGAATCGGCACTCCAGAGATGGAGCCCTGAGATGTGGGGCCCTGAGGGGACGAGGCCCTAGACTGTGCAAGTCAAACCTGGAAGCCCTTTCCGATTCCCCTGGAACCTCTTCCCTCAGCAGAAGAAGAAAAAGAAGAAGAAACATCGGCATAAACATAAACGTTCGGTGGTCCGCGCGGACCTGTTGGATCGGCAACGCAGATCCAAGAAATTCGCGCGGACCTCCGAAAGTGCATGCTCATGCAACTTCTGATATATTCGACTCGGGGCCCAGCTTCGAACCCTCGAGGGAGCAGGAGGAGCAGGCGCTCCTCCCACAAGACGTCCCGCCGTCACGCCGTTTTCTCTCCCTACCCTCCCTCCGTCTGGGTCGGGGACGCACTGACCCAGGTCAGTGCAAACCTGAGTCAGTCAGGCCTTGCAGGATCCTGCAGGATCCTGCAAGATTCTGCGCCAAGCCCAGGTCAGTGCGGCCCTGGCCCTGCAGGATCCTGCAAGATCCTGCGCTCTGACTGACCCCCGTTTGCATTGACCCCCGTCTCTTGAACCCCGATCTGAGGGACCCCCCCACACCCCCCGTCACACTTGCACTGCATCGCCCCTCCTCCTGGGGGCTCCCTGAGCGGCAATGGCGCCTCCCTGGAGCTTTCCAAGACTTCCATGACGGCCCAAGAGGCCCCCGAGACGGTCCGGGAGGGCCCCGAGTTGCCAAACGATCGCTCGGAGACGCCCAAGGTGGTCTCAAAATGGCCCAGGAGGCTTTTACGACGCCCCAAGAGGCCTCCAAGAGGTATCCCAAGAGGGCCCCAAGAGGCCAGAACCATTAATTTTCAAACGGATTTTGAAGGATGTTAGCTTTCTCGCATTTTCGGCTTTCCGACGCTCCAAGACGGCCCAAGAAGTACCAAGACCACCCCCAAACGGACCAAGAGGCCCCCATGAGGGCATAAAGACGGCCTAAGAGCACCCCAAGACGGCCCAAGAGGCGCCCAAGACGGCCCAAGAGGGCCCTAATACAGCCCCAAAAGGGGCCTAAGAGAGGGAACACGAACCGACAATCCGAGCCTTCCGTCCTTAGAGGCTCCAAGGAGACCCCAAGAGGCGCCCACGAGGCCCCAAGAGGCGCCCAAGCGGCCCTAAGAGACCCCCAAGAGGCCCCCCAAAGGCCCCAAGAGTCCCCCGAAAGGCCCAAAAGAGGCCCAAAGAGAGCCAAAAGAGGCCCCAAGAGGCCCCAAACCGTTCCCAAGAGGCCTCAAAACTGCCTGCAAGAGGCCGCCGCGAGGCCTCCCACGAGATCCCAACGAACATGCACTAGGCTTCATACCCCCAACCCAGGCGCAATGGCGGGACTTGCCGTAGGCAGCATGACATAAGCATAAACTTTCGGAGGTCCGCGCGGCTGTCTTGGATCGGTGGTGCACCCCCCTGCCAGCGCCTCCGACCTTCCAAAGTTGATCTTGTTCGAGCAGATGCATGCTGCTCGGCTTCCCCCAACCTGCGTCGTCCGCCTTCTTCCACCCCGGCCTCCCTCGCCGTCCTCCCCCATCGCCCCCTCCTTTGAGCAGCGGCATCTGAACTGATCCCAAGGGAACCATGCTGCGCACGGCTCCCCATCCTCCTCCGCCGCCGGACCGACATCCAGCCGACCAATGACGGCAAATGGTAGTCGAAGGACGAACATCCTCCAAACCCTTAAGGGGGTCCAGCTGAAAGAGGGTGGTGCAATAGATTTCGGGCAATTGTATTGCAAATGTATTGCGCCGGAGAATTGTATTGCATTGTTTTTCAAGTAATGCATTGCACGCGGAAATCCGGCAACACATTTGCGCCCCAGCATGCATTGCACGCCCCAAATGTATTGCAACCCCCTTTTGGGTCAACCCGAGAGCACGAGGACAGCGACTGCAATGCTAACAAAACAGGCGATGCATGCCTTGCTGCTGAAAGTTGGCAATTCTGGCACTCGCGCTCCAAGGACATCTCTTTCGTGATCATCACGAGGTGGCCTGAGCGCAGCAATCATCTTCAATGCAGCTTCGATTCTGCGTGCGGTACTGTCTTCTATGGCGATTGCGAGGATGTTGATGCCAACTGTGCTGGTCAGAATGAGAGGCTCGGCACAGTCGAGGGCAACCAGAGCGCAGCATCGCAAAACGCAGCGGGCGAGCAACTGTTGAGCGCTCAGGTCTCACATAACTGCTCGCATTGGGAGAGCGCCGACCTAAAGCAAGCCACAGCACATAAGACGACACATTGAATGCAATCTGGGCAGGGCAAGATGAGCATGGGCTTCCCTGGCAACCAGGAGTTCTGCAGAGAAGCTGGAACAAGTGGTGAAGTTGGAAGTTCGGTGGAAGTGGAAGTGGCCAGGGCTGGAGAACTGGCAAGGGCTGAAACAAGCTCGAAACAGTTGCGATGAGGTCGCCGGGGCTGGAAAACCGCAGGGAATCTGGCCAGGGCTAGAAAGAGTTGACGGGCTGGCCCCAGCCACTGTTTCCAGCCTCCCTGTAAGGGTTCCTGCACATCCTCCATAGACCTGACACGACCTGCGAAGCTCCCTCGCCTGCCGCCACTGAGTCCTGGTCTACGCACGGCCCAACGCGTCCTAGACTCAGCGTGCGCACCGAGGCAAATCACGCCCGATGCGGAAGAAAGAGGAGGGATGCGCCATCATCACTGCTACCTGCGACTAGCAGAGCGCACGGTGCTCCTGAACGATTAGGTGAAGCGAAGCGAAGCGAACCGTCATCGCCCGGAGGCAGCCCATGGCTGGGCGACGGGCGCGCTGCGAGGCGCGCTGGCCCTCTGAGAGGACCGGGAAAAGGCCATGACCGATTCACGAGACAGCGCGCATGCATACAGGGGGAGGGGCAGGGGAGGCAAGAAGGAAGCAGCAGGCAAAGATGTGGAAACATATTCGGCGGCGAGCGAGAGAGGAAATGAGAAGGAGAAGGCCTTTTCGGAAGGGGGCGGGACTTCTCAGAAGCCATCGCGCCTTCTGAAACATGTTCTGCGTCTTCGGGGAAAGCTTAGAAAACTTCTAATTAGGCCGGGGGACTTCCGAACCTACTGAGAAGGTCCGCCCCTTCTCACTTCCCCCCTTGCTCGCCGCCGACATATACTTGGTTCGGGGAAGCAGGTTCTTGAATCCCATGAAGATCCTGCCACGATGCGAAGCAATAGCAGAATCAGTGAGTGGGCGAGAGCGAGCAAGACCCTCATTTTCTCCTACTCCAGGTCCTCCTCCTGCTGATTCCGACGAGGTCACCGCCAGCTCCCTGGGCAGGCTTGTTAACCATCGGGAGGGGCTCGATGTATGGAACACTTCGCTTGGTCGGCCGGGGAGTTCGTAGACGCCCCAGGGCGTCTATACGCCGAAATCCTTCGCCGAAATCCTTGGCCCCCTTGCCAACCCAACGACGTGGTGTGTACATTATGCAGTCGGACCTACGTAGGCCAGAAGAACTTCCTTTAAGCACGCGAGACCCTCCGCCGGCCAAAACAGGTACAACATCCAAGGGTGCCCTCCCCCGGATGCACAAGAACATCCATCACACACACACACACACACACACACGAAGAACACTAGGGTACCCTCCCCGAACCGACCTCGCCCTCATGCCTCGGTCCGACTGCACCTCGAGCCCGTCCGAACCACGTGGCCCCGTGCACGCCCGACGACGGCCTCCTCAGGCACCCCGAGGCGAGAGAACCTCCGAGAGCGAACGAGAATCTTCCGAACCCCTGGAGAACCGACGAAAAGCTCCCTCCTGGCTGGCCGCCGAACCACTCCCACCGCCCCCTCCAGCGGCTGAGCCGCCCGCTCCAAGAGCACGGCCGCCACCGCGCGGGGCGCGCCCGCGCCGAGAGGCGGCGACGCCCGCGGGTCCTCGGGCATACGGGATCGGCCCGTCCCGCGGAAGCTCTTTGCGGAAGGCCCCCCCTTGGCCGCGGACCTCCTCCTCCTCCTCCTCCTCCTCCTCCTCCTCCTCCTCCTCCTCTCCATTCCTTCTCCGTAAAGAAACTTCTCCCTGTCGCACCCCGAGGCCAGTTTTTAGGGCAGGCCAGCTGGGCGTTTCGCCTGAGACTTCCTCACCAGTTATGACTCGGAAGCTTAGAAATTGGTAACTGTATCACAGGTGGATGGCGGGTCGTTTTCAAAAGGTGGCTCTCGCCTTAGCGCCCCGCGCGCATTCGTTTGAAACAAATTGCAAGAATTTCTCGGATTGAGGGCGAGTGGTTTTCAAAATGTGGCTCTCGCCTTCGCGCCGCGCACACTCGTTTGAAACAAATGTTATCACGGATTGAGGGCGAGTGGTTTTCAATATGTGGCTCTCGCCTTAGCGCCGCGCACATTCGTCTGGAAGAATGCAAGAGTTTCACGGATTGAGGGCGTCCAAAATGTGGCTATCGCCTCAGCGCCGCGCAGATTCGTTTGAAACATTCCCTAAAGTTTCACGGATTCAGGGCGGCTCCTTTTCAAAAAGTGGCTCTCGCCTCAGCGCCGCGCACATGTGTTTATAAACTGTGTAAGAGTTTCACGGATTCCCATGATCAACGTACAGGCATGGCGTTTGGAAGGATTCAATATTATTACGTTGAGTCGCGGAGTTGAAGTCCCAAGAATGGCGTTATGGCACGATTTAGGATCGTCAAGACGCAAGAGTCAGGTTGATCCGTGGCGTCGGAATCCCGAGAACAGTGTTTATGCATACTTCAGGGTCTTCAGAAGGTTATCTTCCAACGAGGCAGTTCCCTCAATGATAATGAACCCTTATAAGGGCCTATGAGGAAGGAGCTTGGAGGGAGGGTTTATTCCAACATCGTTGATGACTCTTGGGTTTACTCTGGTCTTCCTCCTCCTCCTCCTCCCCTCCTCCTCCTCCTCCCCTCCTCCTCCCCTCCTCCTTCTCCTCCTCCTCCGCCTCCTCCTCCTCCTCCTCCTTGTTCTCCTCCTTGTTCTGCTCTTTGTTTTCTCCTCCTTCACCTCTTTCTCCTCCGCCTCCTCCTTTGTTCACCTCCTCCTTATCCTCCTCCTTCTCCTCATCCGCCCCCCTCGCGAGCGTTTTTTGTCCCTTCCCGGATAACGGTCGTTACCCTGGGGGGGGTGCAGGCCGGACGGTAACGGAGGGTGCGCCGCTGGATCTCCCCAAGGGGGGGGGGGGTTAGGACCCCCCCCCCTTTCCCCGATCCGTCGTCGGGGACCCCCCCCCCCCCCCCCTTCCCCGATCCGTCGTCGGGGACCCCCCCTCCCCCCCCCCCTTCCCCGATCCGTCGTTGGGGACCCCCCCCCGCCTTCAATACGGGGGGGGGGTCCGAACCCCCCCCCCCCCCTTTGGCCGCAACCCAACCCCCCTCCCCCCGTTTCGCCACGCCGCCACCTGACTCCGGAACCCGACCCCCGCCACCCTTACCCCTAATCTTCACCCTAACCCAAACCCCTAACCGTAACCCCAACCACTAACTCCAGCCCAGAAGAGTACTCACTACTCATTACTCACTACCCACGACTGACTACTCGCTATTCGCTACTCACTTCTCACTACCCCCTACTCACTATTCACGACTCACTACTCACTATCCACTACTCACTATCCACTACCCACCACCCACTACTCGCTACTCACTACTCCCTACTCACCACCCCCTCCTCCCTACTCACTACTTACTACTCACTCCTCACTACCCACTACTCAATGCTCACTGCTCACTCAGCACTACTCACTACTCCCTACTCACTACTCACTAATCACTACTCATTACCCACTACCCACTAATCCACTACTCACTACTCATTGCCCACAATTCACTACTCACTACCCACTATTCGCTACTCCCTACACCCTGGACAATACTAACTACACAGTAGTCAGTACTCACTACTCGCTACTCCCATACTCGCTACTCAATACTCACTACTCACTCCCCGCTACTCACTACTCACTACTCACTACTCCCTACTCACTAGTCACTACATAGTCTCTAGTCACTAGTCACAACTCACTAGCCACTAGTCACTAGTCGCTACTCACTACCCACTACTCATTACTCACTAATCGCTACTCACGACCCACTATTCGCTACCCACTTCTTACTACTCACTGCTCACTACTCCCTACTCCGTACTCCCTACTCACTACTCGCTACTCCCAACTCTTTACTCACTAATCACAACCCACTACTCACTACTGACTATTCTATACTCAGTCCTCAGTACTCACTACGCCCTACCCGCTCCTCACTACTCGCTACTCGCTACTCCCTACTCGCTACTCGCTACCCACTACCCACTCCCACTACCCACGAATCTCAATTCATCACTACTCACTACTCACTCCTCACCACGCACTACGTACTACTCAGTACTGAGTACTCACTATTCACTACTCACTACTCACTACTCGCTACTCATTACTCACTACTCACTACTCACTACTCACTACTCACTACTCACTATTCACTACTCATTACTCACTACTCACTACGCACTACGCACTACCCACTACTCACTACTCACTAATCACTACTCGCCACCAACTACTCACTACCCACTACTCACTACCCACTACTCATTACTCCCTACTCCCTACTCAGGACTCACTAATCGCTACTCGCTACTCACTACTCACTACTCGCCACTCACTACTCACTTATCAGTACACACTACTCACTATTCACTACTCACTACTCCCCACTCCCTACTCCCTACTCGCCACTCACTACCCACTACTCACTACCCAATACTCATTACTCACTACGCACTAACTCACTACTCACTACTCACCACTCCCTACTCCCAAATCCGTACTTCCTACACACCTTCTCCAGTGCACAAAGGAGAAGCGACGAGAGAGGCCCCCCCTCCCCGGCCCCCTTTCCGGCGCAAAAGGGGGGAGGGGGGAGGGGGGGGGGTCCGAACCCCTCCCCCCCTTTCCAGCGCCAAGGGGGGGAGGGGGGGGGGGGTCCAGACCCGCAGCGGCCAGCTAGTTTGGCGCGACCGACGCGGCCGCAGTGGCGCTGACCTCTGAGCACTTCCCAACGGGCCCTTTCAGTGCGAGTCGGCCATTTGGTCGGGCGCGGTATTATGACAGCGCCGACACTGGTTGACACGATGATAATAGTAGCGACGCTGGCGACGATGCTGACAACGGCCAGAGACGGCGCCGATGCTGATCACGCCGACGACGGTAATGATGTCCTCGCGTCGGCGATGGAGGTTTTGGAAGCAGTTCGAAATCCGCGCGCGGCCGACGCGCGCGAGTGACCCGCGTGGTATTTCGACACGGATCGTGCCCCCGAAGCACGTTCGCAAGGGCGTCCGGATGAGTTCGCCATGCGGCGCGAGAGGCCCACTTGGCAGAACGTGAAATCGAACGTTGGAGAACCAAAAAAATGGTCCTCTGGAGAATTCGCAAGAGCGCGTACAGGCTTTGAAAAAACTGATGCTGCAAAACCATGCGTTTGCGTAACACTCGTTTTTGAAACCCTCACAAAGACCTCAAGTTTTGAAAGATTCCCGCATGCGCGCGCGACGAGCCGCGCGTGCGCACTTCGTCCCATATATTGCAAGGGCTCCTGGGGCAGCACGCGCGCAAGGGCTTTCGAACGATTTTGCCATGATCGCGCGACAGGCCCGTTGGGTAGCATGTCAAGGACATGCTGAATACCGATGGACTATGTAAGAAAATGCAAGAGCGCTTTGAACATCCGTGTTGCGAAACCATGTGTTTTATATGTTTCGTGATATTCGACTTTGAAATCCGTACGAAACCTTCAATCTGACACGGATTCCGGCACGCGTGCGCGACGACGCGCGCGTGCGCACTTCGTCCCATGTTTAGCAAAGGTTTCTGGGAAACGTATGAGTTTTGATAAATGAATATGCGCGCGTGGCATTTTCTGCAAAGGCTGAGGGGGTAACGTTGGGCGGCCTTCCTGGGATGGTATGGATTCATATTTAAGCTGAACGATGGGGCAGGATCATCAGCACATTGACATTCGAAAATGGAAGCGAATAAATCCAGGAGGATAAACCTTAAATTCAGTCAAACGTGAACGTACATATATACATATGTATATATACATAGGCTCCAAGAGGCCCCCAAGAGGCCCCACGAGGAGCCCGAACGACTCACACCAGGACGAGGGGCCCGAACGACTCACACCACGAAGAGCCCGAACGACTCACACCACAAGGAGGGGCCCGAACGACTCACACCAGGACGAGGCGCCCGAACGACTCACACCACGAGGAGCCCGAACGACTCACACCACGACGCGGGCCCCGAACGACTCACACCACGAGGAGCCCGAACGAGTCACACCAGGAGGAGGGGCCCGAACGACTCACACCAGGATGAGGGGCCCGAACAACTCACACCACGAGAAGCCCGAACGACTCACACCAGGACGAAGAGCCCGAACGACTCACACCACGAAGAGCCCGAACGACTCACACCAGGAAGAAGGGCCCGAACGACTCACACCAGGACGAGAAACCCCAAACGACTCAAATCACGAGGAGCGCTTTCTCTCTCTCCTCCTCCGCCTCGTCCTTCTCCCGCTCCCCCCACAAGGAGGATGTACAAGGAGGCGGGAGGAAGGAGGAACAGGGGAGATATGCGGGGCCAAGCGGACATACGCCTGAAAAACACGACTGTCGGCATGCTTCGCAAGAGTGGCTGCTGTGAGATGGGCTGGTGGGGATACGCGAAGCGTAAAGAATTCAGTCAAACGTGAACGTACATGTATATATATATGTATATATATACATATATACACACATCCATACATGTTTGTATGTTTGCATGTGTATATACACATACATACATACACACATATATATATATACACATACCTACATGCATACATACATACATATGGTGCCGTCTACGTGGCGCAACTGATTTGAAGAACTCGCATATGTCAACTCCCCTGCTCGCGCAATCATCCCACCCAGCCACCCGCAACTTGTTCTGACAAACGCATGGGGCGATGATTACGATGAGTGCTTGGTGTTGGCTGGTGCATCTCTGCGGCCGGGTTAACCCGAAAATGTTCGCGCGCGCAGCGGCCAGCTAGTTTGGCGCGACCGACGCGGCCACGATGGCGAAGACCTCTGGGCACTTCCCAGCGGGCCCTTCAGTGCGATTCGGCCACTTGGGCGGGCGCGGTATTATGCCAACGTCGACAATAGTAGCGACGCTGGTGACGATGATGACAGCGGCGACAGCACGGCCAGAGACGGCGTTGATGCTGATCACGCCGACGACGATAACGATGCCCTCGCGTCAGTGATGAAGGTTTTGGCAGCAGCTCGACATGCGCGCGCGGCAGACGCGCGAGAGTGGCCCGCATGGTGCATTTGACACGGATCGTGCCCCCCATCGCGCACACAAGGGCGTTCAAATAAAGTCGGCATGCGGCGCGATTGGCCCTCTTTCGAACAAAAATTAAGCTTGTGAGAAAAAAAGCAATGGTGTCCTTAGATTTCGCAAGAGCACGAGCGTCGCTTTTTCACAAGAGTAAGCTGATGATGCAAACACCTTGTGTGTTTTATACGTTTTCGGGGGACTCGATTTTGAAATCTCTACAAAACCAAAGGGACAGGACTTCGGCATACGCGCGCGACGACGCGTGCGTGCACTTCGTCTCATGTTGTGCAAGGGTTTCCTGGAAACTTCTGACTTGTGGTAAACAAGTATGCGCGCAGACTTTGTTTTGCAGAAAAAATGGGGGAACCGTTACCGGACTGGCTCGGATGGTACGAATTCATGTTTAGGATGGACGATGGGGCAGAATCATACGTCGATTGCATTACGAAAAAGGGGCAGTTACAACCGATGGGGTCCTCATACTCCTTGGGAAAGGAGAATCAGTGTGGTGCAGTCTACGCAATGCATAGCTATGCAAGGCTATGCAAGTTATTGCAAGCCACTGCAAAGCAACGCAGAGAAAGTAATGCAAAACAGTGCAAAACAATGCAAGCCAATGCACGACAAGGCCCAGACGACCGGCGGCGACGAGGCGGCGACGGGGCGGCAACGGCGACAACATAACCGCCAGGCCAGCAAACCCCCCTGGCGATGGGCGGCGACGAGGCGGCAACAGGGCGGCGACGGCGACAACATAGCCGCCAGACCGTCCATCCCCCTCTCAGTTCCGTAGAACAGAAGTCAGAGGCCCTAGGTGCAAGCAATGTTTGGGGAAACTTGCACATGAAATACAATTTGAATTAACCGGTGACGATATACAAACTGCATGTGAGTTTGGACTTTGCAGATCGATTTCAACCGTGGAAGATCTCAATGGCGGATCCGTGGAAGTCTTAAATCTGAAACCAGTTTGTCCATCTGCCCCTAAAGGAATCGAACATATGCAGTTAACAGTGAATGTAGGTAAGCAACAAAAATAAACGTCTGCCTGTAATCGCACAGACGGCGGGTCATTCCCCTCTGGTAACGTGACGATTCGTGCTGACATGCGAGTTGTCTTTGGTAATCCCTAGAAGCTCCCTGATGGAGCCGGCGCGAAGCGCGACATTACTCGCCCCGGCCCCCCCCTTCCCCCCCCCCCCGGGGTAACGCCCGCCACCGCCTGGGACTAAAAAAAATGCTGCCCTGAAGCCCAGACCCTTCCACAGGGCCGGGGCCAGTGTTTCATCCGGAACCGTTTTTTGACGGTCCCTCGGCCCAGCGAGGGCCCCGAGAGGCCGAAAACTGTCAAAACCGTTCGTCGTGATTTTGTCACGACGGGAGCACGTCTGGGATCCCGACCGGCTGCCTGCCTCGAGGCGCGCCCAGCCGCGGCGGCGACGGCAGCCGCCCCGATGGCCACCGCGAGAGCACGCCCACCGAGCAGGCATCTGGCAAGGACGAGGACGAGGACGACGAGGATGACGACGAGGATGACGACGACGACGACGACGACGACGACGACGACGACGACGAGGCCGACCACAACGACCCAGTGGACACGCCGAGCCCCTCCGAGCGGGAGCGGAGGCGGCGGCGTCCTGCCGCAGAGCCTGCCGCGCCGCCTGGCCCCTGCCGCGCGACCCCTCCGCGTCCGCGGCCGCATCGCGCTCCCTGCTGCTCCTCGGGGGCCCCAACCCAGACGCGTTCGCGTCGTAGAAAACATTGCGACGGCAGGTTTGTTGCCGCTTTCGGCCTCCGGGGGCCCTCGATGGGCCTCGGGGCCGTGAAGAAGCGACTCTGGCGGCGTGGATACACCCAATCTGTGCATTTCAATTCTTTGGGTATTCCGCAATGAGTGTGTGTGTGTGTGTGTATGTGAGCGTCGGGGTGTGAGAGCGCTTCCGCGTGAACGACGCGTCCGACGACGACGAGTCGCTTCCCTGAGTGTGACTGAGTATGAGTACGAGCGAGTCGAAACGCGAGTACGTCTGAATGGCGTGTCTGCGCATGAGGAGGGACCAGAGTGCGTTGGTCTCCTCCTCTCTGTTGTTTCCTCATACGACAGGTTCCCGCACCAAAAACCACAGAGTCCGCAAGAAAACAATGTCACCAGAGAAAAAAACCCAACCAAGGGATTTCCGATAATTGTCAAATGTGCGTATGATGTCCGCCACCATGCCGCTGGGTACGGAGTGGGCGTGTTCTCACGTCCTGTGCCTAATCCCTCAAGCACTCCTGAGGAGACTTCATAAGGCCCGGAACCCGAATTCACAAATCTCCTGGGCCTTCCCGCGTCTCTCGGGGCTTGTCGCGTGACTGCTTCGGGCCAGAGAGTGCCCCAAAACGGGCCAAGAAGTGGGTTCTCAAGACGGTCCAAGAGGGCCCAGAGTCGCCAGACGATCGCTCCAAGACGCTCAAGATGGCCCCAAGACGGTCCATGAGGCCTGCAAGACGCCCCAAAAGGCCTCCAAAAAGGCTCCCAAGAGGACCCCAAGAGGCCCAAATCATTGATGTTCCTCTGGTGTCTCAAAATTTTTGGCGTTCTCGCCCTTTCCGCTTCCCGACGCTCCCAAACGGCCCTCGAGGCTCCCAAAATCGCCCCAAGACGGCCCAAGAGGCCTCCAAGAGGGCCCCAAGACGGCCCTTGAGGGCCCCATGACGGCCCAAGTGGAGCCCAAGATAGCCCAAGAGGCCCCAAAAACGGTTCCAAGAGGGGGCCCAGATGGGAGACCCGACCCCCCCCCCACTCTGAGCGCGAAAACTGGAGTGTTCCCACCCCTTCGGCTCCGCCTTCGGATGCACAAATGCCACGCCTGCTACATCAAGGTGAGCTCTGGACCACCAGAAGACAAAAGTCTGGGGGGCAGGAACAGGCAAACCGCCTGAGACATCCCCACAATGTGGGTGCGAATCCTGGAATGTCCACACCCCTGGCGCTCCCCTTAGGAGTGTAAAGCCAGCGCCTCGCATGAGACATCCTCCGCATCTGCTCCGACAGCGAAGAAAAGGATGTTGGACACGAAAGCAGGCGAACCGCCTGAGGCATCCCCACAATCTGGGTGTGAATCCTGGAGTGTCCCCACCTCTGGCGCCCCCTCGTTGGGGTGCCCAGATGCCTTGCCTGCTTCATCGCGGTGAGCATTGAACCACCACTGAGTACGAGTGTCTGAGTCTGAGTATGACAGGAGTGTGAGTGCGAGTTTGTCTGAGAGTGAGTGAATCCGAGAGTGAGTGAGTCTAAGTGTGAGTGAGTCTGAGTGCGTTGAGTCGAGCGTGAGTGTGTCAGAGTAGGAGCGAGTCTGACTGTGAATGAGTCTGAGAGTGCGTGAGTCAGAGTATGAATGAGTCTGAGTGTGAGTGAGTCTGAGTGTGAGTGAGTCAGAGGATGACTGACATTGAGTGAGTCTGAGAGTGAGCTACTCTGGTTGAGGATAGGAAGAGAAGGAGGCAAGGAGGAAGAGGTTCTCGGAGCCGTCTAAGCAATAACAAGGACCCCATCTTAGCATATGCGAACAAACAACTAGACCAAGTTAGGCAGCTTGGGGGAACACATGGTTTGGCACTATGTGTCGGCGCAGGCTCGCCTATGTTTTCATAGGTACAGTGTGCGTCAACATGCTTATTTCACTTGTTGTTACGCGTGTTGTTGCGCGTGTTCTTGATGTATGTTGTGTTTGCTTGCACTGCTTTTTGGCTGCTACACAAGTTGGTAAACGAGCTCTGTTTGCACTTTGATGTCAGGAGACCACGGCTATGATGCGAGTGAGTATGAATGCGAGTGAGTATGAGGATGACTGACTATGAGTGAGTCTGAGTGAGAGTGAATCAATCTGGTTCAGAATGAGGAGGAGGAGGTGAGAAGGAGGATTTGTTGTCGGAGCGTCTAAGCAATACCAAGAACCCCCATCTTAGGATATGGAGAATCGGAGCCCCATGTTAGGACATGGGAAAAACCAGCCCTGGGGAAAGGGTTGAGACTTCCAGGGGCTGCCTATGGAAAAAAGAAGGACAAGGCATGTCTGGGAAGACGCTGCGGCGACAGGCCGTGCGGTGACCTCGGAGTCCTGAACGAACTCACCGCGCGGTCCGTCACCGCTCCGTCTTAGGACCCTGGAGGCCCCAGTCGCCCGAGACGTCCTCGGAGAACGACCCAGGTCCCAGAACCGTGCAGCCACCCCGAACCCCCACTGACACACCACGCGGTGTGGTCACCGCACCGCTTGGGGTCCCCCGAGCTCCGTGGCGAGCGGGACGGCGTCGCCACGCGCCGCAGCTCCGGCACGGGGTCCCCAATGTGCTTGGGCAGGGACGGCTGGAACGACCGTCGCCCCTCGGGGATCGCCGACTGCTCGTCCAGCACCTCGAAGGTGGCGTCGCCCCGGCGGCCGTCAAGGGCGCTCACGAAGCCCCGCATGTCGATCGTGTCCGGAGGCGAGAGGCGCCGCCCTGCGGGGCCAGCAAGCAACCACAACCACATCAAAAACACAACCTGGGGGATGTCTTACATATGTCAACAGCCGTCAGAAAAACCGAAATCAGCCTAGTGGTGGTCTGTGGCGTCCGAGGACGGCCAAGTCGACCACGACCACTGCCAAAAAGTTCATGTCGATGTAGGTAGTATCCCTGAGATCCGACGGCGCGAAAAAATTGAACATCATGAGAAAAATCAGGACAGGAGCGGCGGATCCCATCTTTCTGCACCACTGTTCGAGTCAGATCGATCCGTGGAGGTCCTGGGGCCCGAAACTGGGCGAAAACGCCCGTCGTCAAAAAACGGCAACGCCAGGATCTCCTGCATCGACTACACACAAGAGTGGCCCTGGGTAAGAGTGATCTTTGGTGCGCGGCTTTTTGGGGGCCGCGCGGGAACCAAACACAAGAGCGCAAGACGCAACTACCGCATCGCGTTCGGCGATCGGGGGGCCCAATTGGGCCTCCACCACAGGTCACTCCAGCAAAAGGTCACTCTTACGTGTAATCGACTGCAGAGGGGCCCTCCAAAAAAGTCCACTTTGCAAAGAGTGTGGTTCTCTGCCGGGCCCGGCCGGCCGCCGTCGTCGGAGCGCCGCTCTGGCGAGGCCAGCGGCGGCCGACGCTCCTTCGGACGCCCGACATGTACACGTATACAAAGAAAATGGGTACGATTGCGAGGCGGGGATTTATTCATACCGTAGAGGCCCGACCACAAGAAATCTTCCACAAGAAACCTAATCCTGGAACCCCAGGACGTCCATTGATTTTTGGTGTGGGAACGTCACGCTTTCCATAGCAAAACCATCGAAACCCAAGAAACCCATGGGGGGCACCCTGGAAGCAAGCAGGGTGTTTCTTGGCATGGGCCTCCACTGTATCCACCGCCTGGGAACCGACGTCCTGGTGCCCCGGCGGGCGGTGGATATGGATATCTTTTGGCCCCGGGGACCCTAATATATCCATATCCACCGCCTGTGGGTGGTTATGGATAAATTCCAGCCTCGGAACGATGCCCTAATAGGAAAAATGTTGTCCAGAACCGACAGCCGCCGCTGTTGGGCAGGCGGGCTCCTGTCTCAAATGGGCAACGCCCGCGGCAACACCAACCATGAACCCTGTTCAGAATAAACAAGAACTGTTCTTGGAACTTTTTTTTTTTACTGGGGGGGGGTAGCGCCCGTTACGGGAGGGGGGTCCGGCCCCAAGTTGGGGGTAACGGTAACGCGCGGCGGGGCCCTCGCACGGGCCCTGGTACTTATTACCAGCACAACTGTCGGCGCGGCAGGCTTCGTCGTCGTCGTCGTCGCCGCTGTCGTCGTCGTCGAAGCCGACCGTGCCTGTGCACACTACACAGGCCCTGTACACCGCGATGCCTTTGTGCACCACAACTGCGGCAGAAATGGTATGTGTGTGCACCACGGCGACTGAACACATCATGACAGGCGGGTGCACCACAGCGCCCTTGTACATTTCACTGTTGGCGCACACCACGGCGCCCGCGTGCACCACAGCTGCTGTTTCAACGCCCCGTGTTTGCACCAGAATGCCAGCGTACACCACAAAGCTTGTGTACACCTGTAAGGTACCGGCGGAGCGAAAGTCCAAAAAATCGCTCGGGGCCCAACCGTGGCCCTTTCATTATATGAGCTGCTTGTGGATCTTAGTTCTTCTGGTTCAAAAAGCGCTCGGACCTGTTGAGCCCACAGCGCCTGTGTACTCCATTGCGACTGTGTACATCATGGGAGTGTGAACCGCGGCGCCTGTGTATACCGCATGGCACGTGTGCGCCACAAAGCTTGTGTACGGTTTTTTTTTTGTGCGGAGTGTAAACCACGCGCCGTGGGGGCGCGCGGGGCGGCGGCAGCCTAAGGAATACAGGAAGCAGGAGCTCCCTGCACAGGCACAAGACCCTTGAGACATGGGTCGACGGCTGGAGCGTGCACGCGGGTGCGTCGTCGTCGTCGCCGTCAGTTGCGACGGCGACCGGGGGGGCGACGGCGGCGGCGGCGGCGACACGGGCGGCGGCGACGGCGACCACGACGACGACGACGACGACGACGGCGGCGGCGACGGCGACGACGCCGACGGCGGAAAGCGGCGGCGGCGGCGGTGAAGGTGACCGCCGCCGCCGTCACCGCCGTCGTCGTCGCCGCCGATGCCGCCGTCGCCGTCGCCGCCGCCGCCGCCGTGTCCGCAGCCAGTTGCCGCAAGCTTCAAGCGCGCTTGGGGCCCACTAGCTGGATACACATGCGGGGGGCTGGCGTGACCAGCCGCGCGAAGTAGGAGGGCCGAGCGCTGGAAGGACATGCGGCCACATCCGCGTGCAGGTCTCGCCCAGTCCAGCCCCTTGCACCAGCGCAGGGAAAATGGAGGGAGGACAGTGGTCGTAGTCATGATGACATTGTGAGAATGCACCGGTTGGTTGCGCCATGGCTTGCCCGATGCGTTACACCACGCGTTGTGCTTGCGTACAATTACCTGCGCCATAGGTTGAGCCGTAAGCTGCGCCATAGGATGCGCCCCCAGGGCGTGCCATAGCTTGCGCCACAGGTTGCGCACCCAGGGCGCCCCACAAATCGCGCCTTACATTGCGCGTTAAGTTGCGCCCTCAGGGCGCGCCATAGGTTGCGTCGATGGTTGCGCCACAGGTTGCGCCAAAGGCGGGGCCACTTTGTGGCGCTGCGTTTCAACGGAACTCCTGGTGCGCGCACTGTTCGGGGAAACGTCGTGCTGGCAGGCGGGCGTCGGACTCCGGGTGTAGCCCGCAGGATAATGACAACGGACGCGGCAGGGATGACGACGACCATTCTGTGGCACCTGTGGCGCGCCACGCCGCCGATCAAGTGCTAAAGCGCAGTGCCCGTTGGCACTGCCCGCGAGATTTGGCGGCGAGCCGAGGGGGGAAATGACAGGGGGCGGGCCTTCTGAAAAGGCTCAGAAGGCCTCTGGCCTTCTGAGAAGATGTCCAAGCCTCCCCCGAAGACACGGAGGGCTTCTCTGAAGGCCAGAGGGCTTCTGAGAAGTCCCGCCGCCTTCTAAGAAGGCCTGCCCCCTCTCACTCCCCCCCTGGGCTCGCCGCCGAAAAATAGCCACTGGAGGTCGCCCATGAAGCAAACAGGTCCCACAAGAGACGGGTTTCGGACCGCACGGACAGCCCTCGTGGACCGGCACTGCTTCAAGGGAGCCTCCCAGGCCCGAATGGGGCCCCCTAGCAGCATTCAACCTCTAACGCCCGCGCTGGGGTCGCCGCCGCTGCGGCTGTGGCGACGACCGGCGAAGAGGGTGCAATTCCCGCCACCCTTCGCGAGAAGGGCGCCAAAGCTGTGAGAAATCCTCATTCCCCTCCTCCATATCCCATCCCCACCCAGTCAAATTCAATATGTAATTTGTTTGCGAATGTTGTTTTTTATTGCCCTGGGCACGCCCCCCTGCATCAGGGCCCGCAATGCCTGTGCACACCACGGCAACTGTGAACACCGCAACATTCACGTATAACATAACGCCCGTGTGCGGCCTGTACACACCACATCTCTGGGAGCTACGAGCGCCGCAATCCGACCGCCGCACCAACGCCTCTCAGCAACAGGGCACCACTGCGTCCGTGAGAGCACCGCGCCACGCCTGTGAGCGAGACAGAATGCTTGTGAGCACACATGTGAGCGTCACAGCATGCCTGCCTGGACGGAGGGGGGGTCCGCACCCCCGTCCCCGTACGCTCGTTACCGTTACGGGGGGGGGGACCCGCTCCCCGTAACGGGCGTTACGGGTCCGAGCAATAAAAAAACAAGCTCTTGGACTTTGTACCCATTGCGTCGGTGCCCATTTCGGTCGTCCCCAGCTCCTGCGCGTGCTCCGCGCTGCAGCCGGCGTCGCCCAGGCCCTGGGCCACGGGCTCGGCTGGGAGCGCCTCCGACGGCGACGGGCCGTCGGCGCCTGCGAACTCGCCGCGGCCGCTCTCCTGTCGGGTCATGAAGAAATCGCGGCGGAGGGTTTGTCTGGGAGCCCTTACCGCGCCTCGGGACCGTCAGAAAACGACTTGGGATGAAAAACCAGTCCCGGGGAACTGGTCGAGACCTCCTGGGGGTCGACGTTTTTTCCCTACCCAGGCTCTGCCTAGATGGTTCTTACTCTCTTTCTTAAAGGGGCCGGGCAGTGGAAACCGCCCCCGGCGGTTCCCCCAGTATCCGCCCCGCGGTTCCCCCAGTTGCGCCCCCTGGGTTCACCCAGCTTAGCTTAGCTTAGCTTAGCTTAGCTCATCTTAGCTTAGCTTTAGCTTAGCTTAGCTCTGCCTAGCCTAGCCTAGCCTAGCCTAGCTTAGCTTAGCTTATATCATCTTAGCTTAGCCTAGCATAGCTTAACTTACCTTAGCTTAGCTTAGCGCAGCATAGCGCAGCGCAGCATTAGCACAGCATAGCATAGCATAGCCAAACATAGCATAGCATAGCATAGCAGAACACCGAATATCATAGCATAGCATAGCGCAGCATAGCACAGCATAGCAGTGCTTAGCATAGCACAGCGCAGCATAGCATGGCATAGCGCAGCACAGCATAGCATAACACAGCATAGTATAACACAACATAGCATATCATATCATATCATAGCATAGCGCAGCATAGCATATCATAGCATAGCCTAGGATAGCATGGCATAACGCAGCATAGCATAGCGCAGCAAAGCATAGCATAGCATAGCATAGCGCAGCATAGCATAGCATAGCCTAGCATAACACAGCGCAGCCGAGCGTACCCTAGCATACCATAGCATAGCATAGCGCAGCATAGCAAAGCACATCATAGCATAGCATAGCATAGCGCAGCATAGCATAGCATAGCATAGCATAGCATAGCATAGCAGCAGAACGAAGGCAAAGCAACAGCAGCAACAGCAAAGCAAAGCACAAGCAATGCAAAGCATAGCATAGCTTAGCATCGGTGTAGATGTAGATGTTGCTTGTGGGTCTAATATAGCATAGCATTGCATAGCCTAGCATAGCAGGCACATAGCGCAGAATAGCATAGCGAGATGTAGATGTTGCTTTCCTAAATGCTCCAACTCCTAGGTAGGGTCGCACTGGGATAATTTAAAGTCATGACGTCGGGGGTCCCGAAGGGAATTGGCGATTCCGCTGCTCCCCAGACCTGTCCCAGGTTGCATTCTGTCCAAAAGGTCCGGAACCCAGCCGTGGCGACGAGAGCTCCGCAAGACGAGCAGCGGCATCGATACATACCTCCTCCTCCTCCTCCTCCGCGGATCTCCTGGTACGTCCGGTACAGGTCCCACTTCTTGGGCAGGGCGGGGGAAGCCTGTTCGAGTAGGAGATCGACTACAGAATGGCTTCACCCCAGAGTTGTTCGTCGAAACTACGAACAGTACGTAGCATTTTCGGAAAGTCGACAACCACTGTTCGGGGAGTCGACAGTCATGCTGTATTTCTCGTAGATGCGAAGGGAAAACCAAGTCTGGAGAAATCAATGCTGCAAACGATCCCCTCCTCGACCTGTGACGAGGGAGCCGGCGACAGCGCTGGCGTCCAGGCGCCCGTGCCCGTGCCGCCGGCGCTCCCGGTGCGGCGGTGGGCCTCCGCGAGGCCCGCGCGGTGGGCCTCCGCCTCATCGGCCCGGACCAGGCCGGTCAGGGACATGATGTGCCCCGTGACCTGCTCAGGACGGGGGATTCGCGCGAGGACGAGGAGGAGGACCAGTGTGAACCCAAAAGGCCTTTACGATGATGGAATACCTACAACGGTTCATTTCCACTGAAGGAACTGCCTCGTTGGAAGACAACCGTTTGAAGACCCTGAAGCACGCCAAAACATTGTTCTCGGGATTCCAACGCCACGGACCAAACTGACTGTTGCATCTTAGCGATCCGAATCGTGCCAGAATGCCATTCCTGGGACTGCAACACCGCGAATCAACGCCACTGTGTTGCACCCTCATAATCCTGCACCCTTCCACCAAACCACAATTTCTGATACGCTGATCATGGGAATCCGAGAAGTTCTTGCAATCATTAAACGGATGTGCGCGGCGCTAAAGCGAAAACCACATTTCGAAAAGGAGCCGCCCTCAATCCACGAAATCCTTACGACTTCGTCACTGAATGTGCGCGGCGGTAATTCGAGAGCCACTTTGAAAACCACCCGTCCTCAATCCGTGAAACTCTTGCCATTTGTTGAATCAAATGTGCGCGGTGCTAAGGCGAGAATCACATTTTGAAAACCACCCGCCCTCAGTACGTGAAGCTCATGAAATTTCTTAAAACGAATGTTCGCGGCGCAAATTCGAGAACCACATTTTGAACCCCCCCCAACCCTCAATCCGTGAAACTCTTGCGAATACTTAGAACGAATGTGCGCGGCGCTAAGGCGAGAACCACATTTTGAAAAGGAACCACCCTCAATCCGTGAAACTCTTGCGAATGTTTAGAACGAATGTGCGCAGCGCTAAGGCGAGAGCCACATGTTGAAAACCACTCGCCCTCAATCCTTGGAATTCTTGCAGATGGTCAGAACGAATGCGCGCGGCGCGAAGGCGAGAGCCACATTTAGAAGACCACCCGCCCTCCATCTGTGAAACTGTTGTCAATGTTTAAGCTGCAGGGTCATAACTGGTGAGGAAGCCTCAGGCGAAACGCCCAGCCCGCCATAAAAACTGGCCTCGGGGTGCGACAGGGAGACTTTACTTATGAGGAGGCGGAGGAGGAAGAGGAGGAAGAGGAGGACGAGGAGGAGGAGGAGGAGGAGGGGGGATGGAGGGAGGGAGAGAGGGAGGGAGGAGGAGGACCAGTGCAAACTCAAGACTCACCAACGACGTTGCAATAAACACTCCCTCCAAGTTCTCTCCTCACAGGCCCCTCCAAGGATTTTAGCTTCACTTAGGGAAATGCCCGCTCGTGCGCAGGTAGGTTCGCGCGGCGTCAGCGCGCGCAAAGGTCTTTGACACCGCGTCGATCGTTCAACCTTGAATCGATCGCAACCCTGGTCGTTCAAGGTTGAATTCCGTCGGGTCCAATGGCGTTACCGTGCTCCTCGGTGGTTCCGCGTCGCAGAATTCAACCTTGAACGCCTTCGCTGGCGTCGCCAGTGTGCCAACGCCGCTGAACCTACCGTATCAAGGGACATGTCGACCCCTATCCCAAGCCTTGGGAGGTTTTCGACTGGACCAGGACTTTGGGGCCAAAGCCCCGGATATACGACGGGGGGGCGTCCATCCTTGACAGGGATGCGTCCGAATGGCCCTTTGGGAGTATATCCGAAGGGTTTCCCTCCTTTCCTGGACGGCCAAAATTTCGGGCGGCACCCGGGGCTCGGGGCAGAACCATCGCCTGCGAGGGAAAGCCTTTCCGTATCCGCACCCTCGAGGGTCTCGACTCCGGGGCGCGACCCCGTGGCTTCGCGGTCGCACGGATGCGTTCCGCGCGGGGCATCCGCGAAAAAATGCCCCGTGTCCGTGAGGTCGCGGCCCGAGCTCGCGAGGCCGCGGATACGGAAACCGCAGGTTCGTGTCGTGTCGAACTCGGCGATGGTTCCTGACGCCGCGGGGATCACTCAACCTTGGACAATCGGCCGTTTCCTAAACGTCAGATCATTCAACATCGACCGACCCTGGGTCGCCAGCGGCGTCCAAGGTTGAACGCCAGCGGCGGGGTCGCCGACGGTCGACACGACGCGAACCTGCCGTATGTTCGTCGCCCACGACCTGCGACGAAGAGGCCGGCGAAAGCGCCGGCGTCTGGGCCCCCATGCCGTTCCCAGCGGCGCGGGGCTGGCCCACGAACCCCGACCAGTCGGCTTGTTCCTCATCCGCCTTTGATGGAGCTATCCAGTAGTTAGTTTTAGGAGGCAAGCCTCGGGAGGCCGTTGTAAGAACGATCAAGGGATATGAGGCCCGATGAGAGGGCCACTATGCAGGAGCACCCCGGATTGAGCCCAAGATTGAGCCTGGCCACGGCGGACTGAGCGGGATTAAGCGGAATGGCACGGGATCGTGCCAGATTGCGCCTGTTTTCGACCACGGATATACCAGCACCAATGCCGAATTAACCTCCCAGAAATTGCATCCTGAGAGAAGGGGGGGAGGACCGGCTCAGGCGGGACGGAACATCGATCTGGAACCCGCGATACATCGCCGACAAATCGAAGATAGGCACCCGCCAGCGAAACCGCGCGTTCCTGGGGGGGGTGGGCTGTCGGGCCTCCATCGGCGACGAATAGGCGATTGGTGGTCGCTGCGCCTGTCCCCCCTGAACCCAGACCCCCGACGCCGTGACTTTTCACAACGTCGACTTGGCGGCGCGCACAAGGGGGTATGGGGGAGGGGGAGGGCTTCTTAGAAGCACCCCTCCCTGCTTCTCAGAAGGCGCGGGCCTTGTCTGTAGATGTAGGTTTAGCGCCTTCTCAGACGCAGCCTCCTTCTGAGAGGCCTTCCCCCTCCCCTTGCCCCCCTCTGCGCGTGGCCGATCGACTCCCAAAGGTCTCGACCCATCCACTCCCTGGGACCGGCTCTGCCTCCTGAGCCGTCCCGTTGCCAGTCCCGGGGCCCGGCCCAGGGAGGGCCCCCCGAGGCCGAAGACGGCAACAAAAACGTCACGGCGCTCTCCGGGGGGCCTGGGGACGCTGTCCTTAAGACGAAGCCAGGACGAGGATAACCTCGGGTGAGGATAAGTCGAGGATCTCTGAGATCCGGCGGCTCTGGAGGATGTCTCAGGTGCCGCGATCTTCTCAGAGTGTTCTGGAACGCTCTGAGAACGTTCTGGAACGCTCTGGAACGGATTTATCCTTGTCCTAGCCCCGTCTGAGCCCCTGCGCCTTGACCAGGCCGGTCAAAGACATGATCTTCCCCGTCAGGTCGGTCTGCTCCTCCCCCGCCTCGCAAGCGGCGAACGCATCCGTCCACGCGCCCTCGCGGTCTGGAGTCCGAGGCGCATTCCCGGGTGCGCGGTCGCACGGACATCCCCCGCGAGGGGCGTCCGCGAAAAAACGGCCCGCATCCGCGGGGTCGCTGACCAAAGGCCGGGCCCGCGAGGCCGTAGAAACGGATGCAGTCAACGCGTATAAGAAGGATGCGCGATAAGGATGCAAGGGCCTTGGAAGGCCGTCGACGCTTTTCGAGCGGAGCGTCGCCAGCAAAAAAAAGCCGAGATCGGGCCGAAGGGAAAGAAACAAGGGTAACCTTGAACAGTCGCTCATCCTTGCTAGCCGCGTTGACTGCATCGAGAAAATTCAAAGGTACCGATACCGCTGCTCCCCAGACTTCACTTGAGGGTATAGACCGAAGGCCCTAGGCCCTGGGGTAACCTAGGGCTGGGCCTACCGCAGGCCCTAGCATAGCATTGTAAAACCAAAGGGTAGGCCTGGGGAACGAAACCAGGGGTAGGCCTATGGTAGGCCTCGGAGTAGGCCTAGGGTAGGCCTTGGAGTAGGCCATAAAGGCAGGCCTAGGTAGGCCCAGGGGGAGGCTCAAAGGGCACTCCTGGGGTAGCCCCAGGCGGTAGGCCCTAGCAGTACACCTTGGGGAGCTCCAGGGGTAGGCATCAGGGGTGGGTCCTAGGGGTAAGCCTATGGGCCTACGGGTAGGCCCTAGGGGTAGGCCTAGGGTAGCCACAGCCTCCAGGCTCGGCCTGGCCGAGCGGGCGGCGACGAGCGCAACGAGCGCGAAGGGGACGGCGACAAGCTCGGTGACGAGCGCGACGACGGGGGCCCCGGCACAGTCCAGGAGGCCCTCGCGACAGTCTGCAGGCCTAGGGTGGGCCCGAGGGGTAGGCCCTAGGGGCAGGCCCTAGGGGCAGGCACTAGGGGCAGGCCCTAGAGGTAGGCCCTTATGGGTAGGCCTAGGGGTAGGCCCTGGGGATAGGCCTGGGGGTAGGCCGTAGGGATAGGCCTAGGGGTAGGCCTAGGGGTAGGCCGAGGGTAGGCCTGCCGCCTGGGGTCTGTACGCGCTTGGGTGGATGCTCTGACCAGAACTTCGAGGGAAATCCAGCCGCAGCGACTAGGGCCTCCCAGAAGGCCCGAAACTGAGAAAACGACGCAAGGGCCGGCCGCGCGCACAAGGGGGGTCATTAGGGGAAGGGGGGAAGGCTTCTTAAAAGGAGGCTGCTTCTGAGAAGGCGCCGGTCCTACATCTACAGACTTATCCTCACCCGAGGTTATCCTCGTCCTGGCTTCGTCTTAAGGACAGCGTCCCCAGGCCCCCCGGAGAGCGCCGTGACGTTTTTGTTGCCGTCTTCGGCCTCGGGGGGCCCTCCCTGGGCCGGGCCCCGGGACTGGCAACGGGACGGCTCAGGAGGCAGAGCCGGTCCCAGGGAGTGGATGGGTCGAGACCTTTGGGAGTCGATCGGCCACGCGCAGAGGGGGGCAAGGGGAGGGGGAAGGCCTCTCAGAAGGAGGCTGCGTCTGAGAAGGCGCTAAACCTACATCTACAGACAAGGCCCGCGCCTTCTGAGAAGCAGGGAGGGGTGCTTCTAAGAAGCCCTCCCCCTCCCCCATACCCCGCTTTGTGCGTGCAGGGTCATGGTATTGGTACCTTTTCCTCCCCTGCGTATAAGAGAAGATATGTCCACCCCTATCCCCGACGCCGGGCCAAAAAAACTTCGAGTGGAAAAAAAATTGGGGCACAACCAGAATATACGAAGGGTGCGTGCATCCTCGATCGGGGTGCGTCCGAATGGCCCTTTCGGGTGTATCCCAAGGGGTTTCCCCCCTTTCCTGAGCGGCCAAACTTTTCGGGCACAGCTCGGGGACTGTTGAGAAGGGACCGACCACCACAGCATTCCCATAGACCTACCACGAAATTCTCTGAGAACCCAAAAATGTACAATAAGACTGTCCCAGCCAGAACTGTCCTAAGAACATCTCGTGCAAGCCACAGACAGGTTTTAGAACAGGCAAGCTGGGACGCTTCGCCACTGCTCGAGAGAATTTCTCCTCTGCGTGTATTCTTCGCCCACGACCGCCCCCGGCGCGGAGTCCTCCGAGTCGGACCCGCCTCGGCACGCGCCATGGGCCCGCACCGGCGTCCGAGGCGGCGCCGCGGCCAGCGGCCTCGCCGCAGGCGGAGGCGCGCCTGGCTCCTTTCGGGTGCGCCCATCGAGGGGTGGGGGCTTGGGAGCTCATTATCTTGAAAATCATCGGAGGAGGAAAAGGTACCCATACCACTACCTTTCCCTCGTTTTCCCTCTGTTCGGGCCTCCTTGGAGGCCCTCATCGCCACCGCTGGATTCGCCTCGAAACTCTGGTCAGAACGCACCCCATGAAAGGTCTGGGGAGTAGCGGTATCGGTACCTTTTGGCTTCCCCAGATCAGACAATGCGCTGCGCGCCAGACCACCCAGGTATTCGAGCAGGTTAGTTTCCTCGGGTTCGGGATTTTCATTATTGTTCAAATCAAACGACGCGCTGCACGCCAGACCACGCAGTTATTGGAGCAGGTTCAGTTCCTCGGGCTTGGGAGTTGATTCATTTTTCGATCAGACGATGCGCTGCGCGCCAGTCCACGCTGGTACTTGAGCAGGCTAGTTTCCTTGACCAGCTTCGTGTGGCCAGGGGCTCGCCCCTTCTCGAGCGCTCGCCAGTACCGAAGCCCTGTGCGAGCTGGGGGCTGAGTCTGGGTGTGGAAGCGAAGAGAGAGAGCGGGAAAACGGGGGGAGGGAGAGGGCAGCGAGGGATGGGCGGCCCAGATGGGGGGATATGGCGACCTCCATCCCCGACTTTTTGGGAGACCTTCGACTGGACCAAAAATTTGGGGCCCAACCCTGGGATATACAATGGGGGGCGTCCATCCCCGATGGGGTGCGTCCGACTAGCCCCCTGGGGTGAATCCCAGAGTTCCCCACCTTTCTTGACGGGCCAAAGACAAATCACCTGCGAGGGTTGGGTCTGCGGGCGGAGGCGAAGGGAAGGGAGGGGAAAGGAGGGAGGGGGAGGGCGGCGAGGGAGGGGCGGCCCAGTTGGTGGGAGATGGGGCGGACGAGGGCGGAAGGCCGCCGAGGGAAGGGGACGGGGCGCTGCGCGCTGGGAAGAGCACGCCGCGGGAGGGCCAGACATGCTCGCGCCGTTTTTTTTGGGGCGGCGAGCCTGGGAAAGAAGCGAGCCTGGGAAGGAAGCCCAGGCATGCTCGCGTCGTAACAAAAAATATCACGGCGGGAGGTGCTCCTCGTTGTTGTCGGCCTCTTGGGGGCCCACGCGGGGCCGTCGAACAACGACTCGGGACGAGAAGCTGACCCTTTGGAAAGGGTCGAGACTTCTGGGAGCCGCCGAGTCTCAAAAATCAAGACAACGCATGTCTGGGAGCACTGCCTCAGAATAAACGCCCAAGCCCCAAAGCGTGAGAGCGCCAAAACAGAACGCAGGCTCCTTGAGATTGCGGGAGGGGGATTTCGGGGTAGGGTTTGCACCTGGGGGACAGCAACGTGCGCAAACCATATCGCGAAATCTGCTGCCTCTTCTCGAGTCCTCGGTCAGTCTGCGACTTCGGGATCGGAGGCTTGTCTTGTTTTCAGTCAAGGAAGTAATGCTCGGCAGCGGGCCAAGGGGAAAATAAGAAAGAACAGGCTTTCCCAGAATGCTCGGAAGGCCTCGGGCCTTCTGAGAAGTTGTCAAATCCTTCCCCGAAAACATAAAACAAGTTTCGGAAGGCCCGAGAACTTCTGAGAAGCCCCGCCGCCATCTGAGAAGGCCTTCTGATTCTCACTCCCCAGCCTGGGCGCGACGCCGGTTCGTTCTATGGAGGAGCTAGGAAAGGACCACACGGCGGAGCCTCCAACTATCACAGCCTGCCGCACGATAGGTGTACAAGCTTCACGCGAGGGGGGAAACATTCAGTGAACGGCATCCGTGCTACACGTGACATCTGGGATCAAAATTGCGGCCCCGAAAACGAACGACGGCCCTAGGCGGGAATTCAAGCGGTTATAGCGATGTCAAAGACATGCTCGCGTCGTGGTAAAATTGTGACGGAAAGATTTGGGCAATTTTCGGCCTCTGGGGGCCCTCGCCGGGCCCCAGGACCGCCAAAGAACGACAGAGGATGCGAAGCTGGTCTCTTGGAAGGGGTCTAGACATCTGGGGGTCTGCGTAATGCTGACCGCATTGCGACAAAGGCACGACACGAGCGCGGACAGGGGGGTTTAGTAAATCATGGCCCGAGTTATGTGCGTGGATGAGGGGTGCGCAAATGACCCGAGACATTCGACATCCGGATAATGGGGACGCGGCCGCAAGAACCCCCCGAGAGAAACCCAGCCCTAAAATTCAGCCAAAAAAGTGCCAAAGGTCTGGGTTTCTTCGCCAAGGGCTCCAACCGGAGAAACCCAGGGTACCCTGGCCCGAGAAGCTCAATCCCAGGGCGTGATAAGGAAATGTGGTGCGATTGGGAGAGAAACCCAGGGTACCCTGGGCGCAGCAGTTTCTTGACGATCGGAGGAAATCACCGCGCACCGCTGGGAACGAGCAAGCTCAAGCCACCCTGACGAAAACCATACGGTCTATTGGTGCGCGTCCCCACTGCAAACAAGGAAGACCGTTGGTGCGCGACTCTAGGCTCGCCATCGCTCGGACGTCCATTCCGTGCATTTTTCGGTTTCGCGCATGCATTTCTTCGCAAGGTGAACGGAAGTGCTCCTCGATCGTCCTTGCCGAAACAATGCACACGTCCGAGCGATGCCAAGTCGGGGGGCAGAGCAAATGCAAGCGCGCAAGCCCGTGCTGTGGAGGCGGGCCCTGGGGGCCTGCAGCCACTAGGTAGCTCCAGCGAAGGGCCACTCTCACGCGAAGCCGAGGCACGTGCGCGGACGAGGGGGGGTCCCGGGGGCGGGCTGGACGAGGAGGAGGGGCCATGACATCTGGGGATACATCGTGGCCCCAGCGGATATCCACACACACACGCACGCACGCATGCACGCACACGCACACGCACGCACACGCACACGCACACGCACGCACACGCACACGCACACGCACACGCACACGCACACGCACACGCACACGCACACGCACACGCACACGCACACGCACACGCACACACACACACACATACACACACACACACTCACACACACACACACACACACGGGGGGGGGGGGTACATCATGGCTCGAGGCATCGGCTCGGACGAGGGTGGGCCAGGGGGCATGACAGAAAAAGAATGGGCCATGAAATCTGAGAGAGTTCGTGCTCCTGGCCATGATACCCACGGCCAGGAAATCCACATACCCCAGGGGGTGCAGGAAGAGGGGGGAGAGGGGGGGCGCATCACGGCCTGGGGAACGTGCGCGGACGAGGGGGAGGCGGAGAACACGTTGAAGGAAGAAGAGGGGGCCATGAAATGAGAGAGATGTCATGCTCCTGGCCATGACATCCACGGCCATGAAATCCACAGACCCTAGGAGGCCAAGAAGAGGGGGGACGGGGGGGGCGCATCATGGCCCGAGGCACGTGCGCACACGACGGGTGGGCCAGGGACATCATGGCCCTAGGCACGTTCGCGGACGAGGGGCGGGCCAGGGAACGTGAAAGAAGAAGAGGGGGCCACCCAATGAGAGAGATGTCATGCTCCTGGCGACGAGATCCACGACCATAAAATATCCACGTGCCCTAAAGGGGCCAAGAAGAGGGGGGCAGGCGGGGGGGGCGCATCATGGCCCGAGGCACGTGCGCGGACGAGGGGCGGGCCAGGGAACGTGTCGAAAGAAGAAGAGGGGGCCATGAAACATTTCGGAGAGAGTTCACTGCCCCGGGTGGACCGGGTGGACAGGCAGAGGCGAGAGAGGGGGCCACGACATCTGGGGAAATATACTATGGCCCCACCCATGATATCCACAAACTCCATTGTCCTCACCGTGGGTGGGCAAACATATGTTGATACCGCTGCTCTCCACACCTCTCCTACAGTAGGCGACCGACCGCAAGAAACCTTCCACAAAGACCTGAGACCCCGGGACGTCCATCGGTTTTTGGTGTGAGAATGTCACGCTTTCCATAATCATCGAAACCCAAGAAACCCAGGGTACCCCAGAGGCAAGCAGGGTGTTTCTTGGCATGGGCCCCCACTTTAAGGTGCGCTCTTCGAGGCGAATCCACCAGTGGCAACGAGAGAGAAAGGTCGCGGTGTCAGTATCTCTTCCTCCTCTGGTCTTTTCGGGGGCTCAAAACCGTCTGCGTGGTGACCTCGGTATCCGCAACGACCTCACCGCGCGGTCCCCCATAACACGGTGTTGGGGCCTCGGAAGCTCCAATCACCCAAAACGTCCTCGGAGAACGACCCCCGACCCACAAAACCGTGCGGTGACCCCGATGCCCCACTGACCCACCACGTGGTGTGGTCACCACTCCGTTTGGGGGCCCCCGAGTCTTGATGAACTTGTTATATTCGCGGCGATCACGAGTGTTATCGGGTGGAGGGGGGGAGCATATATGATCCTGGGTCGAGGGTTCACAGCCCCCGCCCCCCAGATGGTGGGATGGGCCTCAGTGCTACACATCCCCCCGCAATATGGAATGGGGGAGAAGACGACGACGACGACGACGCCGCCGCCAACGCCGACGCCAACGCCGACGGCGACGGCGACGGCGACGGCGACGACGACGGCGACGGCAACGGCAACGGCAACGGCGACGGCGACGGCGACGGCGACGGCGACGGCGACGGCGACGGCGACGGCGACGGCGACGGCGACGGCGACGGCGACGGCGACGACGCCGACGCCGACGCCGACGCCGCCGCCGCCGCCGCCGCCGACGACGACGACGACGACGACGACGACGACGACGACGACGACACAGACGCCGCCGCCGACGCCGACGCCGACGACGACGCCGACGCCGACGGACGACGACGACGATGATCACAACGACGAAACACCCGACACACACAGGAGGGGGGAGCACCGGCTCCCGAGGGGACATGACACGCGTTATGGCCCTATGGCCCAGTGGGCATGCTGTCTTTAATCGGCGGCGAGCGACGGGGGAAGTGAGAAGGAGAAGGCATTTTCAGAAGGCGGCGGGACTTCTCAGAAGCCCTCGCGCCTTCTGAGAAGTTTCCTGTGTTCTCGGGGAAGGCGTAGGAAACTTCTCGGAAGGCTTGGGTACTTCCGAGCCTTCTGAGAAGGCCCGCTCCTCCTCACTTCCCCCCGGGCGCGCCGCCGATTCAAACAAAAAATGCACTCCCGGCAACCGCCGTGATTTCCTACAGTTCGTTCTGCGCCGCCGCGCAGAACGAATCGTAGGAAACCACGAACCACTTTCTCCCATACCTCAAACATACATACGAGATTGTGTGAAGCAAAGACGACACGGAGAACCGCAATAAACAACGAACCATGCTCTCGGAGCGAAATATTACTGATACCGCTACTCCCCAGACCTCTCCTGGGGTGCGTTCTGACCAGAATTTCGGGGCGAATCCAGCCGTGGCGACGAGGGCCTCCCAGGAGGCCCAAAAAGAGAAAAACAGGCGGAACAAATTGCGTCAACTACGAACCACCCCAACCCGCAATGTCGAAGCCTAGAGGCCAAGCATGAGTAATGAGGATGTGGAAGGGGAGGACGAGGAGGAGGAGGAGGTGGAGGAGGAGGTCTCAGGATGTGATCGTTTCTTTCGCGAGGCCTCCATAGGCTTCGAGTGAAGCGTGGCTCCTCGAGGATCTAGGATCGAATACGAGGAGGAGGAGGAGGACGAGGAGGAGGAGGAGGAGGAGGAGGAGGAGGAGGAGGAGGGTGAGGAGAAGGAGGAGGAGGAGCAGGAGGAGGAGGAGGAGGAGGAGCTGAGGAGGAATCGCCGTTGCCTACATCGCCGTTTGCGCGTCGTCCGATCCTCCCGAGGCCGAGCGGCCGGGGAGGCCACAGCGGCGCGGCCGCGCTCCAGCGGGTCGCCGGCGGCCGCCCCGGGCGCGCCCTCGCTCGGCGCGGCCGCGCCGCGCGGGGCGCTGCCGTCCGGGGAGCGGCGGCGGGCCGAGCCCTCCAGGGAGGTGCGCCGGCCGGAGCTCCCGATGGTGGGGGCCCCAAGAATACACACCACCACCCCGTCGATTCCTCCTGCCTCTTCTACCCTCCTCTTCCTCTCCTCTTTCCTGGGAGAGGGAGGGGGTGAGGGAGGTGGTGGTGGTGTACATTTTTGGGCCCCCCAGATGGACCCACGGCGCCCGCCGTGGTCCTCGGGGGAGGAAGCCCAGGCGTGCTCGGGTCGAAGGATGGCGACCACCATCCCCCGCTCTTGGGGGGAAGCGGCGGCCCAAGAACCCCGACTTTTTGGGAGGGCGCCCATGCTCAGCAGAGGTGCGTCCGAGGAGCCCCTTGGGGGAGTGGGGGGCGGCGAGGGAGGGGCGGCCCAGCTGGGGGAGATGTGGCGCGGCCGAGGGCGGGAGGTCGCCGAGGGAGGGGGACGGGGCGCTGCGCGTTTGGAAGAGCACACCACGGGAAGCCCAGGCATGCTCGCGTCGTGAAAGCGGCGGGAGGTGCTATTGGTCGTTGTCGGCCTCTGGGGTGCCCTGCCGGGGTCGCGGGGCCGTCGAGAAGCTGGCCCTGGGGAAGGGTCAAGAGCCGCGTATGTAAAACATTGAGGCGGCGCTTGTCTGGGAGCACTGCCTCAGAAACCTTCTCTTCTTCCTCCTCCACCGCGTCCTCCGCCTCCTCCTCCTCCTCCTGCTCCTCCTTCTCCTCCCGCTCCTCCTCCTTCTCGTCGTCGTCGTCGTCGTCTTCAAGGTCGGCGGCCCCGGCCGCGTAAGGCCTTCACAATAAAGACGACGCTTGTGTGGGACCAGTGCCTCAATTATAAACACCCAAGCCCGAAAACGCGAGAGCCCCAAAACAGAACGCAGGCACCTTGAGATTTCGAGAGGGGGGGTCCGGGGTACGGTTTTGCGCGCGGGGGGAGCAGCAACGTGCGCAGACCATGTCCCGAAATCTAGTGCCTCCTGTCCGGTCTTCGGTCAATCTGCAATTTCGGGGTCTGGGGCTTGTTTTCTCTTAGTCAAGGAAGGGGTGCTCGGCAGCGAAACCAAGGGGAAATCCGAAAGGGCGTGCCTATTCAGAAGAATCGGAAGGCCTCCAGTTGTTTGAAAAGTTGTCTGGGCCTTCCCCGAAGACAGAGACGGCTTCTCAGAAGGCTGTAAGGCCTGGAAGGCTTCTGCAAAATTCGCAAGCATCGGGGAAAACCTGCCCTCCCTCACTCCCCCCTAGCTCCCCGCCGAAATACCGATGCCGCCGCTAATCCTGGAGAGCCCTGGACATACGTTTTGAACAAACTACACCGGCAAATCTCCTGATAGCAACGAAATGTCTAAAACGCTGTTCGAAAAGTAGGATGGGTACGGCCATAAAGCCCTGAGAAAGAAACGATGCAGCTGGGACAGTGGTGAAAGTCCGATCATATGATGTATGGCTGGAGTTGGGGCGATAGCACGGTTCCTGAATAAATCATTGGGAATCTCAAGCGAAACGGCAACTGGACCGCCTCCGGACGGACTCGCTAGCGGTCTCGGGTTTCACGTCCCCCCAGATTTATCCGCCCCCTTGTTGGGACGAGCAACTTACATACGATCCGTCCCCATCACTCCTTATCCATCGGATTTCGTATCATGCCACCCAGACTGGTATCGACCCCCCACCCATGCTCGTCAAATCCGCCGACCCTGTCGGCGTGTGCGAGACGTTTTCGTCCGCGTGGTCGCCGCCACCCATCCTGCAGCAAACCACTTCAGCCACTACGCCACATGATATCGTTGACATGGAAGTGAAGGCGAAGCAATCCACTTTAACCAATTCGCCACATAACATCGTTCACGTGGAGACAAGCGCGAAGCCCTTCCCTTGGATCCCTTCCCGGGGCGGGGGGTGGGTCCCTGGGGAAGGTCCCGGGGGGGGGGGGGGGTCCGGGGAGGAATCCGGGGGTGGTCCCGGGGGGTGGTCCCGGCCCCGGCCTGCCCCAGCCCAGCCCTGGCCCCGACCGTGGCCTCGGCCCCAGTCCCACCCTCGGCCCCGGCCCCGGCCCCGGCCATTGCCCTGGCTCCCGGCCCGCTCCGGCCCCGGCCCTGGCCCAGGTTCCAGCCCCAGCGTCCTCCAAATCCAACTATACCTCCGTGGCCTCCCAGATGCCCAAGATGCCGAACCGAGCTTCAAAACAACGAACGAAGCCTGGAAGTCGCCCCGGGAGGGTTCCAAGACGCCCCGAATGGTCCTGATAGGCAACCGGCGTCGTCGTCAACATCCTCGCCATTATCTCCCTCCTTCTCCTCCTCATGATCGCCACGCTCTACTCGCCCCTGCACTTTCTTCGTGCCCCCCCCGACCCTGCTCGCCTCGCTCTCCTCCTATTCGTACCTCCCTGTGCTCCTACTCCTCCTCATCCGCCTCTTCCTCCTGCCCCCCTTTTGTTATTCCTCCCCATGCTCCGCGCCCTCCTCCCCAACCTCAGGGACGGCGGCACCGGCCGTAAGGCCTTCGCAATAATCCTACACGCGCGCCCGGCGCTCGTTTATCAAAATCACCAATGACCAAAAATCGTTGCGAACAAAAAAAAATCCATACGCGCGCGTGGTCGCGCGCGCGCATGCCACAAATCCTTCAACAACCGCGGGTTTCGTGGGGATTGCACAGCCGAGGATTTCGGAAGCATGTAAGCAAACAAACAATCACAACATATTACAAAATACACGCGCGCGTTTTTGCGGCTGCGTTTATATATAGAAAATGAGCTGAACCTTCTGTCCACCAGATGCGACGAAACGGGCGCTTCGCGCGCGAATGTCGAAATCATTCGAACGCGCTTGCGTGCGTGCTGGGGGGGTGGGGGGGGCACGATCCCTGTCAAACAACACCCTGCGCGCCACTCGCGCCCGTCGGTCGCGCGCGGATGTCAACATCCATCGCCGATACGTGGACACCCTCATCGTCATCGGCGTCATCAGCATCGGCGCCACCATTGGCCTCGCCGTCGTCAGTGTCTTCATCGTCACCAATATTGTTTTGATCATTGTCGTGTCCGCCGTCGTCGACGTAGACATGATACCGCGCCCGCTCGAACCGACCACCGAATCCCACTGAACTGCCCAGCGTCAGCGCGGCCTGCGGGACGCGCTGGGAGGTCCCCCGCAGTCAGCGCCACCGCGCCAGACTAGTTGGCCGCTCGGCCCGCGAGCCTGCTTGCGCTAGCGAGGGCCGCAGCGATGCGCCGCCCAAAACCAAGCAGTCATCGCAACTGCCGCCGCGTAGGTTTTGAAAACCAAGTTGCAGGTGGGTGGGTGGGATGATTGCGCGAGCACTGGGAATGACAAGTTCAAATTCGGCAGGATTGTTTACCACTCCTAGCCTAGAACCGTCCAACGAAACGCTATCAAAGAACCACGGCGGAGATTTTTCGTCGCGTTTGCCTTTTGATGCCCTCGCTGGCCCGCAGGACCGTCGAAAAACGACTCAGAATGAGAAGCGGGCCCTGAGGAGTGTCGGGACTTTTGGGGACTAGGTGTTGGAAGAACAAAACATTGAATATCTGGGTCGTCGCCACGGCTGGAATTTCCTCGAAACTCTAGTCAGACCGCACCCCAGGAGAGGTCCAGGGAGTAACGGTATCGGTACCCGCCCGTCGGAAGAAGTAGGTAGAAACATGAAGTAGGAAGGCGGATGTATGAAGTAGATTGGGTTCGAGCCCGCCCAAGGAATCACAGCAAAAACAACAACAAACACACATCGGCTCTTGAAGTTAGGATGGCGCATGAAGTGGATTGGGATCTGAGAATCCGAGGCGCGTGAAGCAGACTAGGATCTGGGAGTCCACAGGTACCTAAGTTCCAACGAGCGGCGTGTATCGGTATCTATTTGTCCCCGCAGCTCCGGCGTGGCACACAGGTCTCTGAGGCCGGGAAAGCGGAGTTCCTGCGTGGAGTCGTCCTCGTTGTACGGGTGGGCCGGACCTGTCTCCTCGTTGGTCTGCACCGACGAGTTCAGGGGAGAGAGCATCTTCTGCTCCTCCGCGCTCATCAGCTTCGGGTCCTGGCTGGCGACGTCGAACGTCTTGCTGCGTACCGTGCTGGCGAACGAGACTCGCTGCTTCTTCGCTGGGGCGGAGGCGGCCGCGGGCGCGCCGAGTGGGGGCGACCCGTGCCGCGGGGGCGACTTCTGGGCGCTCCACGCCAGCGGCATGGCGCCACAGGTGCGGGCCGCCCTGCCTCAGACGTGCGCCGTGTGCGCCGCGTGCGCCCTTCACGGCATGGGCCAGAAGGCTACAGACTCCAAAGGCTTGCTTTGTGATCCCCTACTCGTTGGATCCGCCACCGCGCTTGGAGCACGACCGCATGTGTCAACGCTTCTTGTAGCCTTTGGGGGTGCTCGAACATCCACCGCTTCCTCTCAAAGCGGGGCTCCACCACAACACGCACTGCAATGTGTATGTGCTCAGCCTTCGAGCAAGGTCCGAGCCCTTTCTGGGCTGACGAACCCAAAACCGACGCAAGGGGACCAAGATAACCTGAAGCCGTCGAGCGACTGTCTCCCAGTTCCCCCGTGCCGCGATGGTTTTCCACGACCTGTTTACGATGGCCTCACAGACGCCAAGAGACGGCTAGCAGACCCCCAGAGACGGCGATCGGGTGTCCCGTGATTCTCCTCCACGCCCGAAACTGTGCCAAAGACCGCACCAAGACCTCCAACATACCCCATCCCGAGGCCCCCTAAAATCCCTCCAGAAACTTCAAGAATGTCAAAAGCATGGAAACATGTGGATGTTGAGCGCAGCCCTTTCAATGATTCCCCAACGCTGTGAGCACCCAAGGTCCGCTACCACGTGCAGAATTCTGGGACTTAAATGGCGTTAGATCCGTGGCCATTGGTGGGCTTGGTGCAGCCGCGGGTATTCAAGAGGGCCCTGCCAATGATTCGAGTACCGCGCCAACGCGGGGGCTGTGGGCACTGTGCGTGGTTATGAGGCTCCGCCCCGCTCTCGGGTTCGGAAGTTCCGTGCAGGGACTCTCGGAGGGCTCGGACAAGACCTCCTCAGAGGGCGGCTGGCTTCCGAGAAGCCCCCGTCTCTCTAAGCAGGCCGCCCCCTCTCCGCGCCACTCAGACGATTTTCGTCACCTTCAGAGCAGACTGTGAGGACGTCCCGAGCGAGGCGGGGCTCCAACACCCCAACAGGGGGGCGCCAGGGGGCATTGCACGGGACCGTTCGCTGCCACACTGCGGAAATGAATAGAATACTTTGCGTGTGCCGGCGCCCCCGACGCATCTGCTTACAGAACAGATTGTGGGGATGCCTCGAGCGAGGCGCTGGCTTCAGCACACCCGAAGGGGGAGGCCCAAGGGGTATTGTACGGGACCGTCCGTGGCCAGCTTGCAAGGATATCTCGCGCGGTGCGTCTGTTTCGGCGCCCCCGACTGGTATGAGGATGACTCAACCGAAGCGCTGGCTTCAGCACTCCACAGGGGCGGGGCGCCAGGAGGTATTGCACAGGACCGTTCGCAGCCAATGTGTGGGGATGTCTGCAGCGGGTTTCCTGTTCCGGGGCCCCCGGCTGATTCGTTCACAGAACAAGTTGTGAGGACGTCTCGATCGAAGGGTTGGTTTTAGCACCCTAGACGCACGGGCCCGTTCGCGGCCAAATTGTCGAGATGACTGAGGTGGTTTGTTTCAGTGCCTCGGGCCCGTGCGCTGCCAAAGCACATTTCGAGGCGCTGGCTTCAGCACCCCAAAGGGGAACCGCCAGGGAGGACGTCTCTCGACCGTTCGCGGCCAGACTGTAGAGATGTATCTGGCGTTTTGCCTGTTTCGGCGCCACGGACTCCTGTGCTGTCAGGGCAAATTGCGATGACGTTTTAAGCGAAGCGCTGCTACCGAACCCAGCGGGGGAGCTGCCTGTCGTGGTTGCACGGGCCCGGTCGCGGCAACATTGTGGAGATTTTCCAGGCGGTTTGCCTGTTTCGGTGCCTCGAACTCCTGCGTTTCCAAGGCACATTGCGAGGATGTCGCAGGCGAAGCGCTGGCTTCAGCATCCCGACAGGGAGCCGCCACAGGTGGCTTTACCCCCTTGTTCGCAGCCAGATCGCGGGGAAGACTCAGGAGGCTTGTTTCGACCCCCCAGACTCGTCGCCTCTCCAAGCAAATGGTGAAGATGCTTCGGGGAAGGTGTTGGCTTCAGCCCGCCTCGGCAACGAAGAGAAGATTGCTCGCGGCCTGTTTTGCATGCGTGCATCATCCGAGGCGCACAGCGCGATGCGCTTCGATGTCTTGCACGCCCACTACCTGACGACGGCGGCCTCTCAGGAACAGATGATACGCGCCGCAGGGACCATCGACTGCTCGCGCCGGAAGCCCCAAGGAAACCAAGGAACTGACAACGACGCATGGTGGCTGAACCTCTATGTGGAATTTTCCCGCGCCACCCGTTGGGGATCCACTGATCCGGGTCAATCCACACCCGGGTCAATCAAGCTTTGCAGAATCCGGCAGGATCCTGTAAGATCCTGCACGCACACCCGGGTCGGTGCACCCCTGGCAGCGAAGGCTGCAGAGAAGGGGCCCTCTAGAGCCCCTGAAAGGGCCCTTGAGGGCCCCTAAAAGGGCCCTTCACGGGCCCGAACATTGTACTTTCTTCCCCAACCATTTACCACCCACCCATTCAGTGACGCCCAAAACCTGGATGGCGGGATTTCTGGAATACTTCGGCGGCGAACGAGGGGGGGAAGGGAGAAGAATAACAATTGTAAAAAGAAGAAGGCCTTCTTGGAATGCGGCGGGGCTTCTCAGAAGGCCTCCGGCCTTCTGAAAGGTTTTCGGCGTCTTCGGGGAACGCTTAAAGAACTTCTCGGAAGGCCGGGGGACTTCCGAACCTGCATGGCGGACGTGCTGCTGGTGCGGCCGCTTGCCTCCTCACGAGTTCCTGGAGCGAGGTCCGCCGAAGGCGGTGAGGCTAGCCCCCCGCCGCGCTGCCTTGCGCCGAGATGGGCAGGGCCTGGTGGAGGTGGACCTCCCAGGAACCCCCCAGAGGTCTGGACTCAGGTCGGGCACGTCCTCCTACAGGCTGATTTCGGAAGAGAAATGCAAAATAGTCCCCCAAAATATTGAAAACTGTCAAGACAAGCACGAAAAATCGTCACCAGCCTATTGTTTCACTCTTCTTGGATATTCCTCCTGCAGAGGGACATGCCCGACGCAATTCTGGACCCCCAGAAGTCTGGACCCGCCGCCTCATCACGCCGACCCCCAGAGGTCTGGACCCCTTCTAGGGGACTGTTTTTTCGCCCTGGGTCGTTCTTGGACGGTCCCAGGGACCAACGGGGGCCCCCAGAGTAGGGTGACGAGATCTATACATGTCCACTGCTCCCTGGCCACGCCCATCCTGCACCCCGCAGCGGTGTCATACGCCACGCCCTCCTGGCTTGGCCGGGAGGGCGTATGCGCAGCTGCTGGGTTCAGGATGGGCCTGGCCAGGCAGCCGTGGATATGCATAGATCTCTCGGGGGCGGCCAAGAGTGGGGCGTCGAAGAGGGGGGGCGAAGAGGGGGGGACGCAAATCCACCGACCCTGTCGGCGAGTGTAGGGTGTCTGTCCGGCCCCGTCGACGGGGACCCTTCTTTCGTCCCCTCCCGTCGGAGATCGAGCACCCTTCCTCGCTCGGGGAACGGGTTCGCAGCTTGAGGGAATTCCATCCACGTCCTCATTACGTCAAAGAGAAGCCCCTTCCCTTTGTCCCTTCCCCGGCGGGGGGGGGGTCCCGGGGGGGGAGGGGGAGGAGGGGTCAGATTCGCATCGCCTCTGGGGGTCCTCCTCTCCCACGCGGTCCTTCTCCAGCGCGCTGGTCATCCCCGGGTACTCCTCCCCAGGTGGGGAGGAGTCCCAAGGGGGGGGAGGGGAGTCAGATGCGCATCCGTCCCTGGGGGTCCTCCTCCCCTCCCCTCCCCTCCCCTCTCCCACGCTGGTCCTCCTCCAGTCCTCCTCCCCAGGGCGGGGCGTCCCAGGGGGGAGTCCTTTTCCTCCTCCTCCTCCTCCTCCTCCTCCTCCTCCTCCTCTCCTCCTCTCCGCCCGCCTCCTCCTCCTCCTCCCCCTCCTCCTCCTCCTCCTCCTCCTCCTCCTCCTCCTCCTCCTCCTGGTCGTCGTCTATGTCTTTCAGGGTCGGCGGCACCGGCCGTCAGGCCTTCACGATCATGGCCAGCGGCATGTGCGCGGCCCAGGGGGGGCCACGGGCGTAATGAAGTAAGGCGCCATGAAATCTAGGGAGATATCATGGCCCCCGCCATGAGATCCACCCCCCCCCGGTCCTCCCCTCCCCCCCCCTTGCCGCCCCCGAAGGGAGCAGTGGGCATGTATAGATCTCGTCGCCCAGGGCGCCGGGGAGGCCGCGGCCGCCCGCCGCACTCCCCGCGCACGCGAGGGGAGAGAGGCGGGGCCTGGCGGGGGCGGGGCAGCTCGGGGCCACTAGCACACGACTCGCAAAGTAACTACGCGCAACTTCGGGCATTGACAGAACCCCCTTTAATAAAAAGGTGGTTTAGTGAAGACGACCTCGGGCCCAAACCTGGCGGGCGCAAGCCTGGAAAATAACGGCCGCGGCGACCTCTCGAGAACCGAAAACGGACAATCCCACCAGCCCTTTGGGCGTGAGTGGTTTAGAGAGCCCGCTCTGTTCTCAACCCTCCTTCTTCCCCTTCGGGGAGGGGCCTACCCCTCCCCCTACCCCCTCCCCCTGGGCCTGGAGAGGGCGTTCCGCGGGTCGTCAGGGGGGTCATGTTCGACTCCTGGGAGGGCTAAAAAACGACACCCCTCACGAGGATTCTGGCCCCGACGGGGGGAGGCAGAAAAAATGCTCTCCTCTTCTTTGAAGCCAGCAACATTGATTTTACTACGGTTTTGGCCCCATTTTGGCCTTCTGAGGGGGCAGCGCTCATTACAGATCCCCTCTTCTTTCAAGGCAAAATCCTTGATTTTACGAAGGTTTGGGGCCCATGTTGCTCTTCTGAGGGGCCAGCGCTAATTAAAGCTCCCTTCTTTGTTGTTCCATTTCCTCCCAGATGGCTCCAATAAGCGCCCAGGAGGCACCAAGAGGCCCCAAGATGGCCCCAAGAGGCACCCAGGCGGCTCCCAAGAGGCCTCCAAGAGGCCCCCAAGATGCCCCCAAGAGGCCCCCAAGAGGCCCCAAGAGGCTCCCCCGAGGCACCCACGACGCTCCTGGAAGCCCCTGGGGCCGCCAAGAGGCCCCCAAGACGCCCCAAACGGCCTCCAAGAGGCTCCCA